AAAAATATGTATTGTTACAGGTGGAGACAATTGGTGATGCATACATGGTGGTGAGTGGTGTCCCCGAAAGGAGTATGTATCATGCAGAACACGTCGCAGACCTTGCACTGGATATGATAGCTGCCATGCCAACACTCTGTGATCCATCAAAATCAAGTGAACACCTTAAGATAAGGATAGGTAAGAACATTTTTCTAATAAAATTCTTTATTGTAGGTCAAGCGTGGTATCCTTTTTAATTTAACTGAGGTTGCCTGTGATATACAATAAATACTTATGATGCACGATCCTTGCAGTAGAGAGCGCTATTTATGCAATAGTGAAAAATCAAACCTGAATAAAATCAAGTTTGTACGGGATTCGAACCAATGACCTCTGCGATACTAGTGCAGTGCTCTACCAATTCAGCTAACAAGCCAACTGGGAGCAGGCCATCCAGGCCGATGAAAATATGAACTTCACTTCATATATTCATTGTATACAATAAATAGTTAAAAACCAGATTGAAGTAACAGTCAATTATTTAGGTCTGACTCCCATGCAATCCAATGCAAATGCAAATGAAAGTGCAGCTTGGGGTCAATAAACAATGCCAAGAGTAATCTGCTGATTTTTAGGAAAACCTAGGTCAACTAAAGAAATTCGGAGTCACATTGCTGAGTCAAGTGAAGACAGAGTTCACGTTAACGCACATGTGTGCATCTTATACGCACAAAAAATTAAAAGGACGTAGAGTTTTTGCCAATGTGCGTCCTTGGGACGCAGGAAAAAGGTTCCAACTAGTTAGGAGACAGGGTCTGGCGGGCCAGTTACCCAAGAATTACTGCGATCATCATGGCATGTCCTTTGACCCGCCATTTTGTCATGGTCAAGAACGTGTCTACTCAGAAGGGCTTATTCAATATATTCGATGTTTGAAAGGGGAAACCTGGAAGTGATACAGATCTGGGGGATGATACCCAAGTGGAGAAACACAAATTTGTCCTGAATGGTTGGAGGAGTTTCAATGGTTAAAATATTATTCGACCGAAAAACAAATGGTTGGTGTAATAAGAAACATGAGCACACTTTATTCCAAAATTAAAGCTCTATTAATAGCGTTAACACCTAGTCTTGGCTTTTGCCTCTCTGTTAGAAACTATAAAATCAAATTTTAGTAAAAGGCAGGGAACCCCTAAAAAGCTAAAGGGACCCCCAAATTTTTGGAACTGGGGGTCCCAAGGACCCTCAACTATCAAAACTAAGGGGAACTCTGTGAAAAGTGATAGTGATGTGATTGCAAACCCCAACTAACAATCCACTGATATTTGTTTGTATTCTGCATTAGGTGTTCACACTGGTATGGTTGTAGCAGGTGTTGTTGGTTTGAAAATGCCACGGTATTGTTTGTTTGGTGACACTGTCAACACTGCCTCTAGGATGGAGTCTACAGGATTGGTACATTGACTTTTTTAAGTTTATGATTTTGTGGCACTAGTAAGTTATTGAAGACATACACTTAGGGTCTAAGTATTCAAGCTCAGGTCAAATTCATGTCTTTTGAAAACTAGTTTTGATAATGATAATGTTGGAGTATCTGTTCTATTGAAATTCTATTGAAACAATTTTCATTTTCATGAAGGTAGATATATTTGTTAGCCTTGATGAAGAATGAAGTATGGCAGCTTGCTAACACTGTACGAAAGCAAGTTTCAGACATAATTGTGATGTCTTAATACTTTTCCTTTTTTTTTCTTTTTTTTCACATATGTATATTATCAGTAGTTGTTCTAATTTTTCATTGTTTTTTCCCTGTGATCTTAGTTGTTTTAATTGATTTTTTTCATTTTATGGTATGCATGTTCTGTGATTTAAGTTATTTTTGTATGAAATATCTCAATGTTTTCTTGTCGTAGGCAATGAAGATTCACATCAGTGAGACAACTCACAGTTGTTTACAGGCTGCTAACTATCTCATGAAGCAAAGAGGAAGTATCGATATCAAGGTACTGCATCCACTGACACATTAAATCCTATTTAATTTGTATTTTTATATAGTAAACAACGATTACATTTGTCACTGATGAAGACGAGAAAAGATCTGAGTCTCTATCAGTTCTGATTTTGGGGTCAACTTACGGTACTTTTGTTACCAAACCAAGCTATGGAGAACATGCCATAAACATAAATGAGCTTGGTTGTGAAAAAGAATGATGTTAAACCTCATACAGGGTTCGACACTTGGCTACCTGCATCACTAGCCACCAGGCTAGTGATTTCTAAAATTTACTAGCCTGAAACACAACTTGGTAGCCCGGATCAATTTCCCTCGAGGTCTAGCTACTTGAACCCCAAACACACAAACCTTCCTCTTAACGTATTGGCAAGGTCTTTTAAAATGATAAAGAATAGTACAAACGCTTCAAGTGCGAGGCGATCGTGCAAGGCGATGTGTAAGGCATTGCAGCATTCAGGTAAGCGCAGAGTCTGGGATCTAGCGATGTTTACGATCGACATGCAAGACAATAAAAGACGCCATAAATTAGATGAAAGGCTTCTGCCGTCTTTCTTGGTATTATCATTAAAATTTGAACTTTATTATTTTTTTAATCAATTGTGAACTTCAAGTAAACTAATTATTCATATAAGTTCTTTCAATTTTTCTACAAGCCTGCCGGCTATTAATCGTGGTTTTTTTACTATCCAAATTTTTACTAGCCTCGGGCCACTGGGCTAGTGGGGATGTCGAACCCAGTTATAGCCTGGACATGACAGGAAAAAGGAAGAAACATGTATTTCAGTTATGACACTGACCTCTCTCTGTATTTTTGCTGCTAGGGAAAGGGAGGAATGAAGACTTTCTGGCTTGTTGGTAAGAAAGAAGGAGCAGAAGCAGTCCAGTCATATATGTCCATGGTAGGAGGCCACACTACTGCAATTGGTGGACACAACCTGCAGGGTGAAATGTCTGATGCTACCATGGAGAGTCACACTTTGAAGCCCAGAGTTGATTCTGTGCCTGAAGAGGAGAAAGTCATTGGAACTGAAGATGATGTTATCATACCACAGAAAGACAGCCCAGTTGCCTACTATGGTCATGTTCCTCATACGCCCCATAACTCTAACAATGGAGTGTACTTCCAATGGGAGAAGGTGGCAAAATAACTCTACACAATTTTGCATTTGTTGTTAAACAGAGATATTTTTTAGGTCTTTTTCAATGAGTTTCTTTGAATGGGTGTGGACAAAATGCCAAACTAGAACCAACAATCCCTGATTTTAAAAATTGATGTGAGCAGTTGTAACCCACACTTTGATAACACAATGTAAGGCTACATTCACTAAGAAATGCAAATTTACCATTTCCTTTATTTTTCTTCAGGTCAATGTTAAACAAGATACTTTAATAGAAGTAGATGATCCTCCTGTGGAAGAGAAACGAAACAAATCAGACATGAAAAATGGACCAAATACCCAGGAGGAAGCAAAGGCTACCAATTCTACACTAACTACCATGTGCAGTCTTTTCTAAATTATCACTGGTTGGTAACTAATTTAACGAGTATACTAAGTAATTTAATTGGTGCTCACAGTACATTAGTTGGAATCATATGTTGCAACATGCAAAAGTACTTCTAACATGAAGAAAACCATGAAACACTTCTTTCTTTTCATGTCAGAATAGATCAAAAGGGAATATGGGTGTCTAAGCTTAAGGATCTGAAAGTTTGGCATGAATTGGAAATGAATGGCTTGAAAACTCAAAGCAGCTTGAATTTTCAAGACAGAAACTGTGGTATGGCGCCCAGAAAGTTTGATCTCTTTTGTACACTAATTAACAATTATTCCACGAGCGCGCGTTGGATATGAGATGATAGATAGCCAACGAGGCGCTACATGCCTCGTTGGCTATAATCATCTCATATCCAACAAGTGCGAGTGGAATTATTGTTTTAATAAAAACGCCTCCAAGATATTAGACAAATCTTACCAAATCTTAAATTTTTTAGCTCCCTTTCAATTTTAAGCTGATGCGTACGCTTACCATACTTGTAGATTATGGTATATTGGCTCATATACCATAATGGCTAAGCCAATAAAAAGTCTTGAATTGCATTATCCAATGATCCAGTTTTTAATAATATCTGTTATACTTGTTTTGAGTTAAAGCAAGGGTGAGGCTTATGTGGAGGGTCAGGGGAAATAAACAGATCATGCACACAGCCTTGTACATTGTCATGTAATGTCTTTTAACTGTCTTGATTGCCTTCAGGCACAATTTACAAGTACTGTTCCTTTTTTAAAATGTTAAGAAAAAATGGTCACATGATTGGCAAGGCACTCTGGAGACTAGACTGTTGAGAAGCAAGTCTTATTGTGTTGTGTTCTTGACTTTCAAAGTGCCTCTCCTAAGTGGGAGTATAAATACAAAACTTGAACTTTATAAAAGGATTCAAAACAATGTTATTACCAATTATGTAGATACATATTATATTAGGTAGGGGGAAAATAGTCACGACAGATTAGATCAGTGACCTTTTAAGAACTAAAAATTGCTGAATGTATATTTGAAAAAAAGGGTTCTTATTGAATTTCTAAACGTACTGCCCAGTATCTAGTCTAAACAGAAATGATTGTAAGCCGGGTTTAGAAAACAACAAATATGAACATTGCCAGAGGAATGTTACATTTCATCTGATAGAGATTATAATTTTAAAAAATTCCGGCATCATCTATATTAGATCACCTCGTTCCTTCTTTCTCTGCTACAGATATACACTAACAGAAATTGTGATAGCATACGCTACTTGTCTCATTTTGAACTGGACAGGCAGGGGTACCAACATGCACCTGGCCATGTTTAATTTATACCTGAAGGATTGATGTTAAATACAGTAGAACACCGCAAACTCGAACTCGGTGAACTTGAACACCTGGTAATTCGAACGGTGTCCGGTCTTTTCGTCCATGAGTCTTTTCTTCCAAGTCTTTTCGTCCGAAAGACTCTTTTCGTCCAAGTCTTTTTGTCCTAAAGTATTTTCATCTTAAGTCTGTACGTATGTCTACTTGTTAAGTCGATCTTTCCGCCAAGCAAATAAATAACTATTATATTATATTATATTATAGATAAGGCTATATAAAAAACTTATCGGTGCGAGCCGTTGCCCTTTTGGTTCACCAATCTTCGTTTACGAATTCAACGTCATGAATTTAATACACAGAGAATGAATGAAGTTGTAACGCAATATATTTTATTAAATAGTGGCAAAAATAAAGACTTGCTTGCCGTTTAATTATTTCACGCGAAAGAAATGGGAATATTAAGCTCGTTGTTAAGCGTCCATATTGAGCGTAAAAAGCAACGAAGTGTAACATCACTACGTGTCCGACATACCCAAATGGCGGCGGCTCGCAACAAGTTCTTTATATAGCTTATCTCGCCTTCTAAAAGTTATTTATGTGCTTCGAGAAAAGACTTAACAAGTAAACAAACAGACTTACGTGAAAATACTTTTGGAAGAAAAGACTTGGACGAAAAGACCGTAATTCGACTTCCCTTGACCCCATTTTTCAGTCATTTAGTAGCAGCTAACTCGCGCGGCCGCTAACTCGAACTATTTTTTTCGTTTTCCTTGGGAGTTCGAGTCAGCGGGGTTCTGTTGTACTACGTTATTTCAATTAAGAATTTTACTTGTAGATACTTTTTTACTTGTGGGTACTTTTTATCAAACACGGACAAACTCTATACATATTTTTGGTGTTTAAGTGTTTTTGAGTCTTTTTTATTCCAATGTTCTTTTTGGATACCATGATATATATGAAGTTCATATATTTTGAACTGCGGTATTAGATACATATGATGCACGATCCTCGCAGTAGATAGCGCTATTTAAGAAATAGCGAAAATCAGACCTGGAAAAAAAAAAATTATATAGAACTTCATATATATATCATTGTATCTGATTTATCACTTTCACGGGTTTATTACGAATCAACTTAACGGCCTGCTCCCAGTTGGCTTGTTAGCTCAATTGGTAGAGCGCTGCACTAGTATCGCAGAGGTCAGTGGTTCGAATCCCGTACAGGCCTGATTTTTTTCAGGTCTGATTTTCGCTATTGCTTAAATAGCGCTATCTACTGCGAGGATCGTGCATCATATGAATGTTCTTTTTGTTGTCTAATTTAAAGTGAACACCAGTGAGACTATTTCCTAATTATATAAAGTCATGTTAGTTATTTACTTGAAGTTCCATATTGTTCACGGAAATGCGACGAGTCCTTATTCGTACTTTAAATGAACTAAGGCTGAATGGCTTTTTTTTATGTTTTGGAGAATAGACTTTAACTTATTTTGGTTCTCGTGCTATTTTATAGATGTTGTAAGAACAACATGTGACTTATTGCGCCATTTTCTCATATTTATGGGTACGTACATCTTCAGTATTTCGTCTTGCTGTAATTTTGTTTAAGCACTTGGTACTGGATACCGACAGAACAACTCTCTTCTATTCATTGTTTAATCAATCAGAAGAATTGATAGATGATCATTAGCCCAGTGGCCTGGATAGTTATTTATTTGCGTCTGTGTCGTAGGTATTTTTTTTAGAGGAGGGAAGGGAAGGGTTTACAGGACAAAAAGTGTTGCAGTAGTTTGCTTTTAATTTTTCTTCCATTGGTTTGCTGTTTTTTCTTTTTCTTTAGAGATTCTTTATTACACATGCGTGTCTTGAATTAAAAAATCCCAGTAGATGAATATTAATTGCTCTACGTGAGTTGGTGTGGTAGACTTTTGACAGTGAATGAACAATCAGGGTTTTTTTTACCTATTGTTTAATTATGCGAATATTTTTTGTTTGCATGGGTCATAAACTTTCACAATGTAGATACTAGATCAGCAAGGGATGTACATGAAATAGAGATGAATATACTAGGAAGTGGATTATACAGTTTTTTTGTTTGTAAATAGAGAATAGTTTTGTGTATATACTTTGTAATAATTATGAACACCATTGCTTTGCGAAAAAAAAAAATTAATCAATATCTTACTAACATAGTTCGAGGTCCGCACTATAAGTCACAAGGCCGAGTTTTATCCGCTCGGATTTTTGGTGCAAAGCGCATGCGCCCCAAATCCGAGCGGAATAAGCGATCTTCCGTTACTTACTGAACAGACCGAGAACTTGAGGAAGTAAGACGTACTAACCGAGACATATGATAAAGTGTTATAGGGAAGACAGCCAAAAAGAATTATGATAATTTCTATATCACTCTTATAAATAACCCTTTTTACATAAATGAGGACAGTTGGAAAGCAAGTTGGACTTGCAAGTTTTCATTTTCCTTGAACTCAGGGTGTTCTCCATTTTAACAAGAAGTTCAGCTCTAACAATAAGAGCACCTGCTTGATTTAGAACCTTGGCGCAGACTGTAGATTGGTTCTCTTGTTTTTAGAACTCGCGGGAAAGATAAGCATCATGCTCGCTAGACAGACCTGAACATCTTATTGAAACAAAATACATAATTGGCAGCGATACGGAAGATCTTTTAAACGTTTTTGTAAAACATCAAAGCTGAATGGAGAGTTCTTAGGTGAAGATTTGTCATTTCGGCTGTTTACGACGCGACAGTTGATTCCACAGTAAGCCAAAGACACTTTTACATCGAAAGTTGTCTTTGAAAAATTTAATCGTGTTTATTAACATCAAATTACACTCGAAATCATGTTATTTCCTATACTTATATCGATACAACAGCCCGTTTGTAATTGAGACTAAGTTTCTGAATAACACGGCACTCATGAATGAATGTTCTTGTTTTGTCTGTCAAGCACAGATGTTTTATCAGGTTACATAATAAAGAAGATGAGAAGAAATGTAGATAGGTCGGTGTCTGATGAAATTGGTGAATTATATCTTCTAATGAATGGAATATTGTACAAATGGATATTAAATAATATATATAAATCAATTTTATTATCTTGGGTACTGGGACACCACAATGGATTTAGTTTGGTCACCATTGTACGATAGAAGTTAGTTAAGGAAATCAATAACACGAGAACTTGTGTCGTTATGAAATGAGAGACGTACTGAGCATGTTCCTATTGGTCAAAACCTTTTTTACTGGAAGATCAGAGGAAACTGAAACGGGTTCAAGTTACTGACAGTTTACAGTCTGTTATTAGCGGGTTTGTTAAAAGAAGGAATATATATGTGTAATAAAGTATATGAGGTCAAAATTTTCGTACTCAATTTGAATAAACTATCTCTTGAAACCCAGTTTCTTGTCATGACCTTTCCTCTCTCATGAAGTGAGGAAACAAGCTCAATTCAGAAGTTTCGCGTCACTATTCAGAACAGCACAGCCGTTTAGTCAGCCACATGACTTATCGGAGCAGTTTTACATCGTATACCTACTAATGGAAAACCAAATACAAAATATCGAATTAAATAACCTAACTATCATAATGTTCGCAAGTATAGGAAAAAAAACTATCTAATTTGTACGAATGGCGGAAACGAAAGTGTAAGTGATGACGCTTGTTTTCTCTTGTTCACGAACGTACCTACTTTAGACATAACATGACTCCACAACTAACTTTCCGTCGCTTAGCTGTACAATCTTGTCACATTCTTCAATGGTTTTAAGCCGATGGGCGATGGTGATTACTGTTGAGCTTTTGAGTTTTTCATGGATTGTTTCGTGTATGATCTGCTCTGTTTTGGGGTCAACATGAGCAGTGGGTTCATCTAGGACCACAATTTTACTCCCTTCTAGTAAAACACGAGCTAAACAAACCAACTGCTTCTCTCCTACGCTCAGATTTCTTCCTTTGTTTGTTATAGTATAATCCAATTTGCCCTGAAAGTTCTCGACGAGTTTCTTCAATTGCACAGTTTCTAATGCGTCCCACAAATCAACATCGCTGTGTTTTTGCAGTGGATCGAGGTTCATTCTAAGGGATCCACTGAACACAACAGGATTCTGGCTAAGCACGGAGATGCAACTCCTAGAGTCTTGAAGATTTAAACTGTTAAGCTCCACTCCGTCCACGGTGATTGACCCTTCAGCTTCAGGCATGCGCAGAAGAGCAGAAACTATGCTTGATTTCCCGGATCCTGTTCTACCGACAACTCCAACCTTTGAATGTCTTTCGATGTTCATATTAATTTTCTTAAGTGCTGCTGGTCCGTCAGGGTAGTATGTGAGAGATAACTCAGTAAATTTGGTGTCTCCATTTGTCGGCCACTGTTTTGGTTTTTCTGTTGGTGTATCGTAGCCCGCTTCAGGTTCTAGTTTGGTGACTGCCATTACTCTCTCTACAGATGTCATCAAATTCTCGACTTCACAGGACTGTTGAACAGATACCTGGGTGAAGTGAGAAGTTTCAAAGACGTACACGAATGCAAGACCAACGAGAGCTGAAAATTAATATTATACCGTCAAACCTTTTCATAAAAGACCTTGCTAATGTTTTGTAAATCTTGTACGCAAGTGTAGTGAATTATAAGAACTGGTTGAACTCAAACACTCGGTTGATTTTGGGCCGATAAGTTCGGTTGCAAACTCTTGATAGAGGCAATTTGGTTCTATCAACTAAGTTGAAATTGTAAAAGAATTAAAAAGCTGACATTTCGAGCGTTAGCCCTTCGTCAGAGCGAAGTTTCGCTCTGACGAAACGTCAACTTTTTAACTCTTTACGATGGCCAGTTTACAATTTTAACTTAGTTGATATAACCAAATTACCTTGTTACCCCCACCGACGCAGCACCACAGTTTCTTTAGAAACTTACCTCCTTTATTCTTGCTAAAGGCACTTTGCTTTTTCTAAAAGAGCATCAAAACCCCACTCTCATGATCATTCTTTACCTGCACTGAGGAGTCTTCCTGAGAAGCTACAGGTTCAACTTAAAGAGCCTATTGTCCCCATTTAGAGGAAGAAACGGTGCCCCCAAATATCATAATCTTTCGAAGTCCGGAGTCAGACGATTAGCTGATTAAATCGGTTATTGTCATAGACAAAAGAACATTCTTTATACAAGACGAATGGCGCATTTTACAAATATAACTACCCGTGGGAAAAGCAAATATGATTATTACCCTAGAAACCCACCAAACATTTCTCGACAGAAAATGAGTAATTCCTTAAACTATATTGAGTAAGGGAGAACCCACGATTTGTTAGGTTGTTGCTTACCGTTGTCATGGCAAAATAGAGCAGCAACTAAGGCAACAGCGCCGATCAAGATGGCAGATAAGAGATCTAATCTTATTCCAAGCCAACGAGTCGCGGCCAATACCATGTAATATGCTTGATTGTGTACGTCTTGATATCTGCCAAGTTGGAAAGAATGAGATCAGACAAATTAAGGTCACCACATCTCCAAAGACTTCTTTCTTCTTATTCAGGTTCCCTATGTCCTCTTACACGCATTCGTGTGAAATCAGAGTTACTTTGTGCCTGTTTTCAGTTCAATATCAGTACATCAACCCCACAAAATCACAAAACTTCATTGTCTTCATTCAGTTAGATGTTCTTTAGACTTAAAACCAGCCTTCATACACCAAAGAAGTCTCTTCTGCGGCTTATTATCATTACTTTGAGTATTTCATTTGACTTTTCCAGCCTTAACACGGAGGAAATTCGGCACAATAACCATACAACCAACGCTCTAAGTCTCCTCCCTCGCTTTCCAATCATCACTTTCAGCAATTCACTGTTAGCACGACTTTTCCAGTCTTGACACGAACGAAATTCTACATGATGGGAATACAGCCGCTCTAGGTCATTTAGGAATTTAACGCAACTTAAATATTGTGCTTAAAAATGCGAAAAAGTGTTTTCTTTCACCACCACAATGAAAAGAGGACACGGTGGTAATTTCTCATTAATAGTAATGTTACCTGTGTAACTGATCAGCAAAATCGCGTTGTCTTCCGCGGGAACGAATGGTGTCCAAACCATCTAATGTTTCCGAGATATGTGACAACACAGGACTGCGGCACACAGATTCTAGCCTCTTCAGTTCTCTAGAAGTCTTCATGAAGTACCTTGCAATGTAAATGTATAGGATGATGATAGGCACTACAACTGCTGCTAGCCACGCATTCGCGAGCCACGGGACGAGAGCTGCAGTCAAGACGAACAACACCAACTGGACTGCAAAAAGGAATGTCTTCGGCAGAACTTCGTCCATGCAGCCGATGTCTTTAGAAAATCGATTAAGGATTCTGCCGATTGGGTTCGAGTCAAAAAATAACACCGGTGCTTTTAGGAGGGCTGTCACCATATCATTGTGAAGGCTCTCTGAGGATCTCAATACCACCTGGAAAAACATGTAAGCTCGAATCGTCGCAAGGATAACCGCTGCAGTGACACAACTTGCGTAGATTCCAATGTTAATCCTGTCTGTTTGGTCCTCACTAGAGAGTCTTGTAAGAAAGGAAAGCCACAGGTCTGGTGAAACCATTACTCCTGAAAACAGTAAATGGAAATGAAATGTCAGTGAGGTTCAAATCGATAGACCGTTAAATGAGAGAACACTATCGACTAAGGGGGGTTTTGTGTCCGTTTGATGTTTCAATGTACAGAGCAACTACCTGCAAACTTGCAGCATTGATGCAGGGTTCTGAAGTGTGAACAGCCCAGCTTTTCAGTCCCGTATAATTTTGCTCAGCGTGCACGAAGTTATTGCGCAAAATCAAATTAACAAATTTGGTTCAGTTTGGGTACGGTTGGTGCAAGCATTCGGTTCAGCAGGTCGTCCCTAAGCTTTATCTATTTCATAAGCGGCTGATCTGAAATTAGTTAATGTACTCTTCATCCACTCAGCATCCCTGTGGAAGGAGTGCAGTGAAATAAAATGAATGACAAGGCCAAGGGCAGAAGTTGAGTGCCCTTCTTCTCTGCAGGAAAAGAGAAAGGTTTTTTTCTTTAACTTAAGTGAGACTGGTGTAAGATGAAAAATAGGCCGGGGAAGAAATTATGGAAGAATGAAACTTTTTTAGATTAGTTCTTACCGAATCATTAGCAACAAAGGTTTACTGCCGTCCTTTTAAAGGAGGCTTCGTTGCGATTAATTTAGTAGTATCAAGGGTCTTGGAGAACAGCATCTATACGGAGTAAAGCTATGAAATAATCGTGTTTTAGGGACAAACACGACAAAGAGGCGAGGGTGAATTAAAGAGGTACAAGGATGGCGAAGATAAAAACGGATTTAAAGAGACAAAAGAACGTTGACAAAGTTCCTTACCTTGGCAAAGAAGGAACATCAAGGCTATGCCACCTAAAATGGTTGGATGTACTCCTGCTGTTAAATAATCCCAGTATAGCTTCCAAGACACTGTTCCAGTCATACGGTCTTCGTCGGGGATTTCAATGCTTTTGACTTGCTTGTTGTCGGAGCAATGTACTTTGGTATTTCTAGTGATTAGTTCCTCAAAAAAAGTTTCGTGGAAACTTTTGTTTTGAGGCTCTAGTATGTCCACCAGTGTTGCTTTTTCGTCTAGTTCTGAGAAAGTTCCCCGATCGATAACTGAGCCACCATGCAAAACAATGACTTCATCTGCGAACTTCATGTGGAACTCTTGGTGAGAAACCATAAGACGAACTTTCCTGGACAAAATGCCAAGAATACAATGATTAAAGATATCATTGCTAACATTAGCATCGACAGCTGCAAGTGGATTGTCTAGCAGATAAATATCACAATCAGCATACACAGCTCGAGCCAAACTGATGCGAGTCTTCTGACCACCACTTAAAGTGTCCCCTCGTTCTCCAATAACCACTTGGTCTTTATTAGGAAATCCTTCAATATCTTTTTCTAATGCACAAGCTCTGATGGTTCGGACATATTTGTTGAAATCAAATGGTCGACCAAATAAGATGTTATCTCGTAGGGTACCAGAGAAGACCCAAGGTACCTGCGGTACATAAGCAATTGTCCCGGAACACCGGACATTTCCATCAGTAACTGGAATCTCTCCGGTAATTACAGACAGTAATGTTGATTTTCCGCTGCCTACCGGACCAGTTATGATAGCAAAGTGGTCGTCTTTTGCTTCCAAATAAATTGACTTCACCGAGCACTTATTGGAATCAATCTTGCAAGTCACATTGAATAATTTGACCATCGTTTTCTCTGGTTTTCCCTGCAACTCTTCGTCTTTGATTGTTAGTGGTTTTTCAGGTTGACTCTCTCCCAGATTCTTTTTTTCAAGGATATTACGGTTATTTTTGCTTTCAAGATCATCTATAAACATATTGATGTCACTCGATTTCTTCAATGACTCTTCAAAACATGTGAGCTCATTGATGATAACATCAAATTCTTCATTTTCAAAAGGACTAGATTTTTTCAATGATTCTTCCGTTAATTTGGTTAACGGTTTTACATCAGTCACACTACGCAAGTTTTCCAGCATCAGAAATTCTTGTATCCTTTGAAATGATACGTAAGCCTCGTAAACAAACTGTGTCCCTTCTCCAATGGACCTTAGTGCACTGTTGCGAAGAACGTTGATTATGGACAAGAGAGTGAAAACGATGAACGGTGTCAAGTGATGGCCACAAAGAGCGAGAGTCAAGAGAGAAATAAAGGAAGCAACAATCCCCGAGGTATACATAAGAGAAATCGCACATGATAGAAGGATACTCTTGCAACGAATTATCTTCATCTCCTTCCTGCAAAAAAGAGTATCATGTTATAAAAAGGATGTATGAGACTTTCATGCAGGTTACAGGAGGAGGAACAAGTGTCCAATATGTACATGAATACAGGATACAATACGTACTTATTGACTGAGTGGGAGGGCCGGACGTAAAATATTTGGCTCGAGGTCATGACCGAGAGCCAAATACTTTTCTGTCCGGTTGACCAAACTCAGTCAATACGCATTTTATCATATGAGCACTACGTGTTAAAAATTCAAACGAAAGAAGACGCGATAGATGGACACACGTAGCCACTCGAGTACAAAAACATTCTGCAATTAAAGCTTCTCCTTTTTTTCTTTCAAGTCAGATCAAGAAACTCCCAATTCCTTGAAAAACGCGACTTTTTTTCTCATTTCTTTTTTCCTTTAAGTTTTTGCAACAAAGCGAAGTGAGGCCAGCAGGGCCAGACAACTTTATCCGGACCGGCTCACGTCAACTCGTCCGGCCCTGCACACGTTTTTCTATGGTTTTCGATGGGATTGCGCGAGTGGGGCCGGACAGGTCATATGATAACATGTATTATGACAAGGGTTAATCCCACTTTTGATTTATACCAACATGCATCAGCACGTTCTTTATACGTTGTTATTTTAACCCATGTTAATACTAATACCAGTGGAGGCGCGGTGGTCTCATGGTTAGTGCGGTCGACTCCGGATCGAGTGGTCCGGGTTCGAGCCCCGGCCGGGACATTGCGTTGTGTTCTTAGGCAAAACACTTTACCCTCACAGTGCCTCTCTTCGCCTAGGTGTATAAATGGGTACCGGCAATTTAATGCTGGGGGTGACCCTGCGATGGACTGGCATCCCATCCAGGGGGGAGTAGAAATACTCCTAGTCGCTTCATGCTACAGCAACCGGAGTTAAGCACCGGCCTAATGGGCCACTAGGCTCGTAAACAGACTTTACTTTACTGATACTAACACCTTTCTAAGGCAGCTGCCATTTTCAATGAAAATAAAAGTGTTTGTTGATTACCGTTTTACCTTAAGAAGCTTTCCCCTGACATTTATCGAGGAAACCTTGCCGAAGGAAACTTGAGTACAGGGCTTAATCTCCTTCGATAGAACTTTGATTGTCTCATAATTTAATTTCAGTCCCTTTTATTAAATTCGTAGTGAAACCCAGTACGAATATTTCCCATTTGATTTTACTCTTTCCACTAACCTCCGAGTTTCCTTCACCTGATCTCTAAAGAACCATTCCCACGCATGCGTTTTAACTTCACGTATCCCAGCGATTATTTCAGTCATGAGATTTATTCGCCGGTCACTGATGACAGCGGTCTGCAGGCGAAGCTTTCCTGACAGGTATGTCAAGTAGCCACCAAACGGCACGAGAAGAAACAAGAAGATGATCCCCGTCAATGCCTGCCAACCTATGAAGTACCATAACAACGGTACCACTACACAAACATCAAAAATGGCGACGAGAAGGCGGAAGAATTGCCTGGCAGCTTGTTCCATTCTTTGAACGTCATTGGTCACCAGATCGACCACATGACCTTTGGTAAAGTCGTTTAGCATGTGTTGACTAAGTTGTAGAATCTAGAAAAGTAGAACATTGGAATGAAATGCTTTAAAATGTTGATGGATAGGGAGTAAATTGTCACCCCAATGATTCACTGCGACGGAAGTTTTCAATCAACAGACAAGACCACAGACTATGTGGGAGGATTCGTAATGGCCAAAAGTTGCATTCTAGCAAACCCTCACTTATCTCTGTTTTCTCTTTGTGTATTTCAAATCCACTTAAATCCAATCGAAAATCAAGATCTTGCAAGAGCTGTCACTTCCAACCAACTTGGTAACCTCAAAGAGGATTCCAAAGTACCTGAATACGGCTTTTCAATAATCCCTACTTAGAGCTTAGATCTGCTTGAGTTTAATTTAATTTGTTAATCTTTGAGCTTACTTTTTGAAATTCTTTTAACTCTGGCTTGCACAGTACATTTATCGTCCTGCTTATGGTGTTTTTTCTCTCCGGAATATTATTTTCCCCTGCTGCATTTTGATGTACACAAAACCGACGTTATTCGGGAAGGAATGCCCCTTAATTTTTCCGTGCCGCCGTTTTTGACAGATGGAACTCGTCCAGAAATATTTCAGAAAACAGCAATAAGTTAAATTTACACAGAACATTCCGTTGAAAATTAATCGGAAATTCCGGAAAACGCGTGGAATTGATGGTAACAATGTCCTGTCGAGACGAATACTTTCTATTTAAAGTATGAAAATGATAATTTTCATGTTTATCCTTCCCGTTTAAACAAACAAGTTGCACCTTGATTACTTGTTTAGATGATTTACGTTGATAACATGTTTACAGAGTGGTGAGATTAGTATTCGATTCATTTTAAGTGTGGTACATTTGGCGAGAAGCTTTAGCAATCTTTCGTTGTCATACTTCCAATAAAAGGTAGTACTCCTCTACAATTTGGTTTTTCGGGTTTCCGGACAATAATGTATTAACCGGCCTAGGAAAAACTTGAAGGTGTTAAATTAATGTTAATTTTTCTCCAAAGCTTATCGATAGACTTGTGATTTTAGTCATATGTCATTCATTCCATCAGTCAAAACGTCGGTGCGCCTGGATTCAAACCATTCCCCTGAAAAACACCGTCACGTTTCGTTATTCCGTCCATTATTGACACGTAATCATTGCAATTGATAAGTTCCTCGTAAAATGGATCGACCTTGTATGGGTTCACTTCCGAAGTAGGCCGCCAGATGACTCAGCAACCTAAAGCTAACAGCTCCTTTTCTCGACAAAGAACGCTACATCCTTTGAATTTTTTTTTAAAATTCTGTCCATTTACTGATAACACAAAATATAAAATTTCCATCTCTCCCAAACTTCGTGTTCTCTTTCCCGTAGATTTCTCATGTTTTCAGGAAGAATTTTTATCTCCAAAGGCGCATTGTATTTTTTCTTTCGAGGAACATTTCTATTATTATCATCAGTTCCCATTGACTGGAAGGGAAGGGCACTTGAATCTCGTTTCTCCCAAAAACAAAGTTGATCGAGTTAAGAGCAAACAAAGAACAGCTGATTGATATAAATAAAGTCCTTCCTACACAATAACAATTGATTTTTTTTATTTGGTGCGAATTTTGCAGTTTGTTCTCTCTAGATGGGCGCGCCCGAGGAAAAACTCTTGTCAATAAACTGAGTGGTCAACCCCTTCCTTATTTGTTTTTCGTTTGGACCGGCGAGAATTTGGTAAGAATACTGACCTTTTTAAAGATGATTCCCTTGAGAGAAGCCTTCATTCGCATGCCAATGACGTACAGTTTAAAGCTACTGTGATGGACAGCAACACTTTTCATCACTACAATTATGAGCATCAATACAGCGCATCCGCAAAGCAGATCTCTTTCTGGTCTGTCCGACATAAGTGTAGAAATAAATAATCCCAGGAAAAAGGGTTGAAGAAATCGACCCACGGAGTCTATCAGCCCGGCGAAGGAAATTACTAAAAGGTCCTTAAGAGAGAGGACTTTGAAAGCACTTTTCCATAACTTAGGTTCTTTGCCAGTTAGTTTGTGGTCGTCTAGATCATTCATCCACTGTGAATGTAACCTTCTTGTCAATTCAGAAGTAGTATCTTCTTCGTGCAACGGCCAGAAGTCAGACTGTTCTAAAGGGCGCTGGTTTCCAGTTTTGAACAAATCGTTGGTCCACCAGAAGAGCAGAAACGAAATGATGTTTGCTTTTCTCTGTGGATGCGTGGAGGAGGTATATTCTCCACCGTCGTTCATTTTGCTGAAAAAAAAAAGTTTAGCAACTTAAGTATCTTTCGATATGCGTACGATGAGATGTTGAGGACATGAGTGGTTTGTCGCAACTTATATTGTTTACATGGATGCTGGATACAACAAAGTATTGATGAGATCCACTCGGATTTATCGTGTTTCAAACAATATCATGACGATAGTAGCGCAGTACAGATTTTTCAACATCATAATATTTGTGCGTTCAATTAAGAAAGGATGCTTACAAATCTTGATTGCAGAAATATTGCGAAAAGTATTAAAGAAAGATTCTAAACAATGTCATCATCGAAATCTTACCCTAGGTTGAGTTAATGATTTCAGTGTTCGCAGCGACTATGGTTTCTACATGATAGTGACAATAAGAAAATACTTACCAATACAGTATGGGAACAACTTAGAGACAAAATAAAGCGATAAACATTTGCGGAATATTTATTGCTAAAATAGCAACTGAAACCAACGGAGCGCCGGACTAAGCGACTGGCATTTACGTCATAAAAGAAGTCTAAAATCAGTCTAGAATCAGTCACACAGATCGCACGACAGTCACAACCGGCCAGCTCCTTAAATTCACTTACTTTTTCGCGATATAAAACAGGTAAGAAAACCTTGAAAAAAATTTCCAGAGCTTCAGTCCACTGTTGTAGCTTTGAGAATAATTACAATAGGCAATAAAAAAGGTCGAGAGGCCCTAAGAAAAGCTATTTCGCTATGGGCGTGAAATATTTCAAGCTTCAGCGACTTCACTACTTAATTGAAGGTTTCTGTCAAACTCTCCGCCGACTTCCTATAAAAAATTTTGCGCTGACGTGAATTTACCGAAGATAACCACAGAATCTCAAACGGTAATGTCTGAAAGATCGATATTTCCGTCAGGAGTAATGATTCCGACAGGTGTCATTCAGGGTAAATGCCACTTACTGGATGGAATAAAAAGCATTTCACTCATCCGAGGAACTAAAGTGATCATTAGACGTTTATAGCCTTAAAGTTAAATAAACCGATTATTTAGAACAAAACTTTCAAATATTAGAACAGTATACTGGTAAAAATACGACTCTCCACCCATGAATAGGTTCTTATGTTTCGTTTGAGCCATATGATATTTAATTGTCTAAGATCGGCGCTGCCCAAGAGTCAAGGAGTTTTGGCTGGCTCTTCCGGCTCAAGCAGTCAACATGTAGTTTATCATGTGGCTCTTTTGCGTTGAGTTTGACCTATTATCGATTGAACAACTTGAGATCGTGAGCACTATGCTCCTTGTCAAGCACGATTCATATTAGGATTTCATAGAAGGATAAGCTCGTCTGATTAGGACTTACTTATTCGATCACAGATCGTCAAGGTAAAAGCGGCATGAACACAGATCGCAAATAGGAGCAAAATTCTCACCATTCTGGTCTGCAAATTTTTGTCAGCTGTCAACCTTTAAACAAACTAGAATGTGTAATGTTACGAGGTTATCTTTTTTCCAAATCATTTGCAAAGACGTGTATAATGAGATTTGTTTAATGATATAACAAAGTGGTTTTCTATAATAAACCATCACACGAGCCGCAAATAGCCTCCTTCTGAGCCAATTAGAAGTCTATTAAGGTCTGTTGCCGTGATGAAAGCGCGGTTGAGGGATTGGCTTACATGGTTTAGACCTCGAGCTGGATTGGACGAGAAACAAGTATTTTCCCGAATTGGGTGGAAAACGTTATACGAGTTTCTGAATCACAAAAAGTTTAACGCATGCCGGAAGACATTTGAAAACCACTAGCCTGTTAGATATCCGCGAAGGAGCTAGAGTACAAAGCCGACTTTTGGACGCCTGCCTTTTTTGTGACAATCACAGTTCATTATCGTTACCCAAGCTAATTACTTATTGCATAATTCTCTCTTTTCTACTTTTTTTCTCCTTTCAAATCTCTTCTCCCAGCGCTTTATTGTGTTTTCGTCTATCATCAATTTGAACTTTCTGAATTTATTTAGCCAACAGATTTGCCGCTTTATTTGACAAATAAATTCATAGCAGATTAGTGCTTTTAACTCTTGATGCGGTTACCATATCTAACTTGGCCGGCGATTGGTCATTAGCAAGGGCACATTAAGTATATAGCGCGGATAAGATCACCATAGAACCGCGACTGCAAGCGCTATACAGAGACCTTCACCCCCTAAGAATTTGCTCTCCTCGTAGTTTTTCTGTCTGATACTTTGCCGATGTTCACACTCAGGCTTGCAAATTAAAACCTTTCTGACCCACCTTAGCACATGAAGAACAGAGAGCAAGGGAAATAGTTGTGCGTATTTGAAACGACAAACATTTAAGATCATGCGTGGTTGCTACAATTCTGATTGTTTTAAGTCCATTTTTGAAAGAAGGTCGCAGACGAATATTGAGGCTTGAAGACACATTTAAGAGTTACAATATGCCTATGATGACGAATTGAACAAGTCTCACGTGTAACATGTCATTTGTTGATGGTTTGCTTCTAAGCGCTACAACCAATGCTATTTTACACAATTCCACTGCAAAGCGATTCAATAGTTGTTGGTGCCAAATGCAACCTGTCACCCCGGCCTTATTAGTTAGCACTCAAAAACTTTTGACGAAACACCTGAAACTCTCGTTATTCCTCTCACGGTCACTCTCTTACCTTTTAGGTTGAATTAACACGTACATCCTCTTGCAGGAAATTAAAATAGCAAATATGATAAATGCCGTTGCAAAACGTTCCTTGTTTACCCAGTAGCTGAATTAAGACCGCATACGAACTGTGCAGCGAAAGCCAGATTAATTAAAGACTTGTGATTATGTTCGCTAGTGAATATAAATTGGGAAGCGCTTTAGCTGGACTGTTATTTTGTGGCCGACTAATTGACTTGTATTTGCCCGCGGCTGTACGCTGACTCGTGTTCTTGCCAATTCAGCAAACATTCCTCCCGAAGAAATTACCGTCCGATTGTTTGTAAAAAGCTTCCTGACTGGAAACTGCATATTGGACCCTCTGATGTTAAGAGAATTTGTAGACATATATTAAAAAAAAAACACTACCTTGGCGCCGAGAAATCGCACGCTTTATAAAGCAATTAGATTATCACAGCCGTCAGTAAATAGTCCCTTCGTCTACGCGTCATAAATTACATAACATGGCCAAAAGGATCTCTGGTTTAACAACAAAATTGAATCAGATGTAAAAGAATGTTAAATTTAGAAGAATAAAAACCATTACGTGTTACCGAAAACAAGTAATAGAAGACTGGAAAAAATTAGAGTTTACCTTACAGTTTCGTGCACGTTCTCAGCGCCGGTAATCCTGCGCGACCTCTGACAACGGACGTTTATTCCCAAGTCAGTCAGCTTTAACATAACTCGACATCCTATATATCGTTTAAAGCCTCCATTGGCCCAAAATAAAGGGTGTATATGATTTAAAAAAAACTCTAACACGAAGAACCTGAAGAACGAGCAGTTAGAATTCCTTTCTTTTATTTATTTGATCAATCACAGAGTAAATTGTGAGGGAATGTGTTAAGGGAAGAGACAGTGTGTAGCGATACAACTAGTATAGCGCCTTGGCGGAGATAGTCCTTAGACATGCATGTGCTCAGACAACACGCAAAGGAAGTATAAAATTCTAAATAAACACAAACTCACAGTCGGCGTTGCGGAAGGTGAATAATAGTCCACGAATTTCTTTGGCCATAATCCGATAATTTCTCCAAATCCGGGCCGTGTGTCACGGTGTCAGTTTTTATTTTTTGTTACTATATCTGTTAAAGTTTTTTTTTTCTTTCCACCGACGATCATCCGCAGTCTTAAGGAATTTTTTAATAATCGAAATATTTTGACACAGACAGCTTCTTAAGTAGAATAAGAAAGCAAACAAACAAAGGCATCACTGAAGCACAAATATTTCGTGTTCAACACGATTTCCTCTCAACCACAAGTTCAATACACCCAACTGACCACTCCCACCGTTAGACAGCTGACTACCATGCTAATGACGCGAGAACCTTAGCTAATTGCGTGAGATAGCTCTAGGCTATTGCACTGAACAAAGTGTTTAAGAAGTAATTCATAATTTGAGTGGCTCTCAGTTTTCGACAAATTCTGTGCATAATTGAATTGCTTAAAGAACAATATCAATTCTCAGAATCGACCTCCGAAGGATAAACGAAGCTACTTCACCATAAAAATCTACCGCAATCTCAGAGTAGAGGCATGGTTATTTGATGGCGGAAACGGGGAGGTCATGAACGTGGGTTATTGGAGAGCTCAGGTAATTGCAGTCCTTTGATTTGTAAACACGACAAAGGCCACAGGAGGCAAAATAGTGGAAATAACAATCTATAAGTCATAAGAGCTATATTTTTAAGTCATCTGGTATGTAGCCACTTAGAAATCTATTACCGGTTAGCCCTCTTCACTCCTCTCTCGATCTCTTATCCCATGGAATGCTACTACGATTTTTTTTTTCTTCACTCTCTGTGGAGGAGAGTGCAACAGTAAATTATGTTCAACTTAATATTCAGCCCACCTCTTCTCTGCAATATAGGACTTGCAGAAACAAACAGTGACCACAAAAAAATAATCAGAATACTTCATATTTGCAAACATCCTCGTAGACTTGGATGTGCTCTCCAGTTAAGAATTGCTGTCCCAATTTTTGTAAAGCCGCGACATTGCATTGAACTGAATATCTTTTCCCAAAAGAACAGGTCAAACAATCAAGCTTAATGATGGCTTTTATGGCAATGGTAAACGAATGACTGACACAATCACTGATTTTTCCTATAATTATGAAATTAACTCTTCATTGAGAGCTAAAGAGATTGTTCACAGTAATTGCAAGTATTTTCTTTTAGTGATCAACGGCTCCATGGAGAAGGCAATCCGGCCTTTTTTCATTGCCGCATGCCGTAAAGGTACTGCACAGCGTTCCTAAGATCTTACCTTGAAACCCCTTATGGGATCACTGAACTCTTCAGTGAAGACTTGATTTCTCTGTTAAAGCTGTTGCTTTTATCAGTGACCAAAATCCTGTAAAAGCATCTGCCTCACCAACCCGGAAAACTATGACGTTGAAGTTATACGCGACGCGATGAAGTGTCAAAAGCGACTGAGTCATTTGAAGTCACGACAATTACTTTAAAAGGACTATTTGAATAAACGCAATTCTTTTAACCAATCATTATTAAGAGGCACTGAGTCACCACAAGTTTCATCACGTAATAAATTCGAATGGATTGAAAACTGAAACAAAACTCATCTTATTGTCAGCTTAGAACCTTGGGGCCGGAACTTAACAAATTAAGCCGGAACACTATGGCTGAAGCCAAAGGAAGGCAGGCTGTGTTGTTCGTACAGCCAATATCATCCTAACAAGCTAGTTTAAACTGTCACTTAATCTCCTTTTGTATCAAAGATTGTAGGAATAGAACAAGCTGAAACTCAGCAATGTGGGGAGCAAACCATACTCCTAAAAAATTTTCAACCTCGTGGTCAACTCCCTTATTCTTTTTCAGAAATAGAGTTAGTGGTTTTAGTATTATCAATTTTAACGTATTCTTTTTTAAGATTAACAACACAATCTAGAGAGAGTAAGTAATATATTCTATTTAACGCTTATTACCGGTTAATGATGCTGTGCTATATTATCCAGCAAACAGAAACATAAAACAGTTTGCAAAAGAGACAAGTCTACTTCAATTCTGGCAAAACATTCGCACGATTAACATTTTTTTTTTTTTTTCATGTTTGCGGCATTTTCCAGTGGATTCATTAGATATTTTCCATTTCATAGCCACGGGTTTGAAACTAATACCTTAATCCATAGTGAAACTTTGGGGGTCTTACACTGCATGAGAGGTCTTCAAAGTGACAAAAAGAAAAAAAAACGAAACCCCTAAAAGAATCTATGATATTCAGGGCAAGGACCTTACTCTAAACTGAGGGTGTTAATGCAGAATGGCTCCAAACAGAAAAATGTCGTTTCGCGCGGGCGATCGTTCCTAAACTGTTAAAATTCATTTTGGTGATGAGACTCATTAATTAAGAGCTAATTACTCTCAAAGCGCCGTCTAAAATTCTTCAAATTGTCAAGATATTCCTGAAACAAATTGTTTTATTCATCAATAATACTCGAATTACGATACAACATGACAGTCTGAATGATAAAAGGAGGTCCATTGGAACGGATTTGTTAGTTCTAACAAGTTGTAAGGAATGCTTGTGGAGAGCTAACTCATAAATGTGGGCTTCCGACGGCTAAAACGGAGGCATTACGCTGTATAAATAGTCTTTGCACAGTTAAGACAGGTAAAAGTAAATAGAAATTGAGATTACTTTGTAAAAAGTAATGAAATTCCTTCTAAAAATCAGGTTCATCACACACGACGAGAAATCATTTTTATGCCGTAGTTACGCTTTTATTTTTATTCTTCCGTTGGGATATAAACATTTATATATTCTTAGCAGTTAATCTCCATTGACTTCCACTAAAGTAGCTCAAAAGTTCAAGGTATTAAAATTGTTCATACCCCAATTAAACACAAGTACACGTGTTTGTTAAAATTCAACGACTGACAAGGGAAGATCATGTCGGAGGCTCTTCGCCTATGGGGTAATTGTCTTTTCATGTTTACAGAATTCAATAGAGCAACAGCAATTTGATCATGCCATAAAAAAAATGAACACATGAAAAAAATAAACAAACTAGATTAAAGCAAAGACTCCACCGTGATTTATTATAAATAAGTAAACAATTGTCTAATGCACTTGCCATCCAATTTTCCGCTGCAAGGCCGGTCTATACGATATGGCAAACTATGAGGCTAAGTTAATTAAAGAAGGATTAACCGTTTTTCTCTACATGCCAAATGAAGCTATATATTACTAAATGAAGCTGAATTAATATACAGAGGAGGCGGCGTGACCGAGTGGTTAGGGTGCTGGACTTGTAATCCGGTGGCCCGGGTTCAAGTCCTCCACCCTGCCACTCACTGGATTTGTCCTCGGTTGCCCCTGATTCAACTCCTCGGCTGCGCTCTGTAAATAGCCCACTGGTCTGCCTCCTGCCAGTGGGGATTTTTAAGCACTTAGTTAGTTTGCATTGTGGCTCAAAAGCCCCTTAGGGGAGCTTCAATTTACGTAGTTATCTATCTATTTATTTAAGGTTTAAATGAATATATAAATAAATAACGGCCAACAACATCGAAACCTGTCAAAACCTGTTAGAAGTCTTTAGACAGAGGCTGAAAGCTACCAAATTGACCGAAAAAGATAACTAAGTTATTCAATGAAAATTATGGTTGTGCATGTTATTTGTCCTGTTAAGGGGAGAGAGACAGAAGTGAAAAGAAAAAGACCATACATTTTGGGGATGTTGACAATGAAATGGCAATCGTTTCAGCTGCAAACTCGATATCTTTTAGAAGTGCTCGTAATATAACGTTTTTACAGCGTCTAGGAAGTCGTTAAAATAACGTTGATTAGAATGCTAAATTAAATGTGGTGTCAGAACCACGAACCTGGGGCGGATCCAGGGGTGGTTTGGGTGGTTCAGTCAGACCCCGTAACATTTTCCCTCAAAATGCTAGAAATCATGATTCTGAAGACCTAATTTTCAAAGTATCCCGGGAGGGCATGCCCTCGGACAATTCTCCGAACCTCCCTTGACTTAATCCTGGATCCGCCCCCCCGGACTTAGGACCGGTATAGACGTTGTGGTGCTCGAATTGAAAAATTCGTTCTTCTTTCTCTAGAGCTTTACATAAAAAAAGAAAATGATTTGATTAAAGAAAATATGGATCTTAAAACAGTGGGCGTCAAAGTCTTTGTATGCTTTGGAGTTAACGATAAGGGAACCAAAACAGACTAGTTAAGCCAAAATACAGGTTTTAGCGGGGATAAAAGTTAACTACTTATAGCGCACTTCTTTAACTAGTTGCGGAGCTCCGCTTAAACTACTTATAGAGGTCCACTTTAACTTCTTACAGATTTCCGCTTTAACTTCTTATAGGGCTCGGCTTTAACTACTTATAGAGCTCCAATTTTTTAAAACTTGATACGTTGAAAAAAAAAAAACTTGTATAACAATACAGAATGTGTATTACTTTCTCTACAATAGTCAAGGATCTGTTCTCTTGCTTCTTTTAGTTACAAGCTTCCTCGTCCAACTCTTCATCAAAAGAATTATGAATTCCAACCAGAACATCTGCAATCTTGCTTGTTTCATCTCCCGAAATTGGCACCAATTTATACTTCCCTCTACATTCTTCACAGTTATTCAGTATATCCGTTAGTTTCAAAATAAATAACTGCACCTTAAGTTTGTAGGGAAAAACGGCATGTTAGTCAAACTATTCATGATTCATCTCATGCATATCAGCCCTTGAAGTAAACCAGGAGGGTAAATATTTCAAAACGTTATTCTCACTCTGAATAACTCCATATTCCTTAAAGATGAAACGGAGAAATGGAGAAGTAGTTTCTTTAGAGGGACTGCGTGGCACTACTTTCGATCTTCACACTCTGACGGCGAATGTATGATAAACTATTGTAATCGAAGAAAGAATTCACCAAATTCTTGGTTATTAGAGGAGTGAAAAATATCTTTTTTCCAAGAAATGTACAAAAGCGACAAACTTTAGCCGCAAGCAAGATATGAACCATTTATAAAGAACACTCAGCGTCCTACTTCAGCCACGCTTGTGTGAAGAATTCCGTTTTGCGTCAGGGTCCTTTGTTGGACGCAATCCAATTTCCTAGTCATAAATGGCCCCATTGTATCACCTCAGAAGCAGGAGAAAACAGTTTACCTTACTTTGGTCATCTACTTACCTGATGTGTTCGGTCCTCGTGACTCAACGGAGCAGCTGAATTCTGAGACATCTGATACAAGGACATCAGAGGGGTGGCGTATTCCAGTACTAAGTGGTATTCCTCTGTCGTTCCATCTGGGCGAAGCATCTCTACCTGATGTACTGTGTGCTTGTAAATCCTCTCCTTAATTCCTCCCCTGTTGATTTTGATCTCCGGCAGATTACCGGCACATTTCACCCTGTAATCTGCTTCTTCAATTTCACTATATATATAGCACGATTTAGGTACTAAGATGAAAAGCTTTTTGTGTTTTATCTGAAGGCGGAATTTCTCTGATTTTGCTATTTGACGTTCCAGCCTTGGCAGCACCAGCTTCAGATACCCAAAGTAGTAGCCCCAGGCTAGTCCTTCGGCAACGTTCTTGTTTTCTCGTTCGTTGATTTCCGATCTCTCAGCAGCAGAAGGCTGGCGGAGACCCACCAAGAAAAGCAGCTGTGGAACGACGAAACAGTTGAGTGAAAACAATATGGCATAGGGTGGACGACAGAAAACCTCGTAATGTTCAAACAAAAAGAAAAACAGTGTTAGAGTGGAAGCGATGGCAGCGACCAAAATACATTTGCCATGTTTAAAAGTAAGAGTGGCGTTCAAAACCCGCTCCCATTTTCCCTCATATCTCGTGTTTTTGTGTTGAATCTCTTCAAATACCAGGCAAAATCTTCGCACAAGTTCCCCGAGAACCAGACTTAAGGTTAGCAAGGCTGCTGTAAATAATATGAAATGCGTTCCTTCTCTCTCTTCGTTTTCCTTTACAGCAAACAGTAACATCGTTCCTCCAATCACGGTAATGACAACTGAAGCAATTGTTGCAGCTTTACCGCGAGACTTTAAGAGTGGTCCAAACCCATTATTTTCGTGTTGAGCGAGGGTAAGTTCATCACAAGGAGGACGACCAGCCATGATAAATAAAATGTATTCTATTCTAGGGAGAGCGAGGGCTCTGTGTTGCTCGTAGCGATGATTATGAAAGCACAAAACTGGAACAGGCAGATTATTTTAATTGGTCGAACCATTCTCAAGGGAATTTCTCCAAATGATTGCTTCGGTCTTGATTGGTCAGAACTTACATCACTGATTATTTCCTAAATCTTGTTTCCAAGGAAAAGCCCACGGATCGTGATTAGAATTTCTTTTTCTTTGGAAACTGCCCGCAATTTAACTTTTAGTTTCGAACAAGTTTTCCCATACGGATGAAGATCATGTCATTGTGGGATAGGTATATTTCTAGCGATCTTTTTCATCCATCGATCTGATCGGTACAAAACTAGCACAATTTGCGTCCAAAAATCTTAAGAAAAGCTTTCAATTAGAACTCCAATTAAAACTGGGACGAGTTTGCTCTGATTTTTTTTCCCATGATACCTTTTTGACGTGTCATCGTCCAAAATAGAACATGGCGGGAATAATTGGCTGAAAAATTTCTCCCGTTTAGTCTGTCATTTTTCAGAGTGCCAAGAGGTTTCATAAACTGAAATGAGTGCAGCAGGATGGGTTGAAACATTGCGAAGGTTTAACGAGAGGAAAAAGGCAGAAAAAGAAGGAGGTACGATGTTTTGTCGCAATCGAACTCCCCTAGATGTTTAGAAATTAAACAATACTTAATCGTACACGATTCGTCAAAATGTCTTGTTTGTCTGTTGTAATCTCTGTTTGTTTTTCTCTCCTTCAAAATCTAGATCCTGAGAATGTAGAAAATAAGTCTCCCAGTGAGACAGAGCTGTTTACCAAGTATTACAGTGATTGGAAAGGGGCAGGGAAAGGCAAAACCAAAAGTTACGACGCTATACCTAGATTTTATTTCAAGGTACAATTACAGAACGTAAAGTTAAAGCATCAGGTGTGGGCCTGTTTTACGTGCACTTGGTACACATAACGTTTCCAATTTTGTGTGGTTGTTAAGGGACTAATAATTATCCAATCCACTTCAGTTTCTTTTGTATAATTTATCCACAAGTTCAACAAGGTTACCAACTGAAAGGAATCACAATATGCACTTAAAGTGATGTTCTCCATCAGGGACCTAGCTGATAGCTTGTACAATTAAAAGTCATTTTTATGATGGTAGTAGGGGGCTTGTTCTAGTGTTAATGATATTGATGTATGCATTTACTATCTATCCCTCCTGAGTCCATTTGGTAAATTTGTTTAGACAGTGGCATACACAAGCACTAATTTAATTCTCTTCTTTTCTCTTGCTGGTCAGCTTCCTTCAGAAGATGAAGTTTTGTTACAAAAACTGCGAGAGGAATCACGAGCTGTGTTTCTCCAGAGAAAGAGTAGAGAGCTCCTTGACAATGATGAACTGCAGGTAAAAAGGCTTTGTTTGTGGTAAGATCTTCATTGAACAAACTGCAGAATAATCCTTGCAGCCATGTATTTCTTGATATATACACTCTTATTAATTAATTCAAATTTTTTTTTCTTTGTAGAACCTGTGGTTCTTACTTGATAAGCACCACACACCGCCTTTGTTTGGAGATGAACAGGTATTGTGTGAGACAGTGCTAAATTACCACATCAGTGGTTAATGTCCACTTATAGATATCCCCTCCTTCGATGGATTTTCGCTCCTGCTTTGATTTCATTAATCACTCAACATGTTCTTGGTTGGTGCATTTTTGTAGAATAAGTCCTTTTACAATCTTTGTTGTGGGAATTGAGCCTTGTTCTTCTTAAGGCTCTTGTCTTTTGTAAGTTGGCCTTACAGGATTTTGCAGCACTGTGTAGCATTGATGATGCATCTACATTCACATTTATCCCTTTTTTTTCACTATAGAAAGCTAGTATTACATTGGCATTGAGAGAAATTTGTAGAAGGTGATAGGAATTGCAATAACCCACCATGTGTGAGGAAAAATATGTTAAAATAGCAGTGTTTGTATGGTTACAAAGTAATCCCTCAGGGTTTTCTATTATTACAATATTAAGAGTATTGGGTTGTTACATGCACATGTATATGTTCATTACAGTTGGCTCTTTTTTATTAAAGTTGTTTCTTTAGTTTGTCTTTATGCTTCCTATGCCTCGTGCCATGCCTCACATGCCACACACCATGCCTCACACACCTTGCTGCCTTGCGTATTGGTAACACTCACTTCAAGCTTCTGATCATTTAGTCCTAGCTTTTACAGTGTATTGGCTTTTAGATCCCCCTGAAACTCATCCAGTTTCAAGCTAGTCAATGCTTTCCCACCCACACCACCCTTAGTGGTTCAGTTCATTGATCTTCAACACCAGTGTCTTGCTCTGCAAGTCAATAAAACTATGTTGCCCAAACATTGTGGTCTGTATTGGTTATCAATAGAGATTATCATAGTAAGAATTTTTTTGGCCTGTACGGGATTCGAACCACTGACCTCTGCGATACTAGTGCAGCGCTGCACTAGTATCGCAGAGGTCAGTGGTTCGAATCCCGTACAGGCCTGATTTTTTTCAGGTCTGATTTTCACTATTGCTCAAATAGTGCTTTACTGCGAAGGATCGTGCTCATATATGTCTCATAACCGCAGTTCACACATATGTTTCATATGTTTGTTGTAGTAAGAATTTTGTAAGGCAGTTAACATTCACATGGTGGTTTGGTCTTTTAGACAACTTGTTTATTTCTTTTGTAATTGATAAAATAGATGATCAACTATGAAGACTTTTTGAAAGTTGCGGGAGAGGCTGGTGAAAAGTGCAGGTAAAGTAGAGAAATTTATAGTCTTACTCTAATTCTTTGAGCACTACTGGTTGATTTTGAAAGCTTTGCTCATAGAATAATCAAAGGTGCCTAGGGGCTTTGTTCTTGGAAATCTAAGGTGCCCAGATCTTAAAAGCTTTGATTTATAAAGGTAAAATTTTAAATTTAGGCTGCCTTAACACTTAAGTTAGTAGTGTGGGATACCTGTGTTATGCAATGACACAGTCATAATAGCAAAATTTGCATGTATAAAATCTATTGCATGTGATGAATTTGTAATTTTGCATTATCTTGAATACTCCATAGGCCATTTTTCAGTTCAACTGTTTTTGCCAAGCTGTTTCAACAGGATCCTTTTGGAAGGTGAGTAGAATAGTAAACATGAATTCCATGAGTGCAAGTGGAATAATTCCTTTATTGAAAAAGAGCAAAAAAAACTAGTTTGTTTATTCTGCAAAAAGGGCAGAAAGATGGTCTTGTGTGTAGGGAACTCAGAAACCATGACCTGTCAATAGATGTTAAAAGTTTTAAAATGGGATAGGGGTAGATTTCACTCAAGCATTGTCAAATATAAGAATAATTGTTCCTTGCAAATGTGGCTCTGAAAAAGGAAAAAATGTATTCAAAGAATCTAATGGTTAGATGCCTGTTTTATTTTCAGGATATCAATTATGCAGTTTTTCAATTATGTGATGCGCAAAGGTGAGTTCAAGCAAGGTAATTTATTTTTATTTGTGTGATAACTTCTGTTAAGTCCTTTAATATTACCTGACTGAAGCTACATTAGGTTACACCAACTTCAGCTTTCTGTGAGCAATGTCTCTTATGATTGACCTCACAGCAAAAATGTCGCACTTAGAACTTACATCTTTAAATTTATAGATTTAAAGTATTAAAAATTAAATATCTGAATTGGAGTACACTGCACTTGTCATTGAAGTACATGTTCACATACATGTACCTGTAGATGAGGGGTGCCAGCTGGCTAAAATCTCCAGTTTGTAAATGTGATTGTCCCTGCTACAAAAAGAACTTTTAATCTCTGAAATGTGGCTCAAAGGATGTGCTTGAAGTGCACTTTTTCTGCTTTCAATTGGCAGCTACTTTCCTGTTGGCTATGAAGCTCTTTTTCAAGTTCACGTATGATGTACCTAACAGGGCTGCAAATAACGGCCGGTCAACGGACAATGTCTGGTCAAAATTGGGTACTGTCCGGACAAATCCTTGGGTGGCCGGACATCTTGTCTGGTCATCTATCGACTTGTTCAAAGAAATTTTAACTTTTAACTTTTAACTGTTTGATAATCACAAGGGATAACAGTCATGTTTCCGAAAGAAAAAAAAAAAACGATTATAAAAGTAGATAAGTTAGTGGTTGAGAAATTCCTGGCAGTCGCAAATTTCCACAATGTCATCAAGTCCTGTCGCGACCGCAAATCATCATGTCTTCCATTATTTTATCTACTTTATTAAAGGTTCCCAGTCAGTAGAGGGTTTTACCTTTGGCTAGATACCATAATTTCCTCTTAAATAAAGTTATTGATTGTTTGACTGATTGAATGATAGGAAAGCACCCTTACGAAGAATAATTTTGCTGCATCGAGAATACTCCAAGTAGTATTTGTTGCAAAGTGCACAAAGCGAGCAAATGGCCCAAAACCTGGAGAATCCGACCACTCTTAAACTCTAACAAAAATTCACAACTGTAACTTTAAAAATAGAGCTCTGAGTTGTACTGAAAACAAAAAAAGGTCAAGATAAAAGAGAGTTTGTCTTGATTTGTCTGCATGTAGATATTTTATGTTATTACTAACCTCTGAATTGCACGGTTCACTCAACATTTTTTTTTATTATCCTTTCTGTTTTAGATGAAGGGAAACATATTTACACTCAAAATATTCTTATCTGTAACGCATTCGGAATGTACCAGAAAATGACGTGATTGTATCTCAAGCAGCCGACCAGATGATTCAACGCACGATCCCATTGTATTACATGTCACACAGAGTGTGAAAACAAGAATGCAATAGGCCAATAACAGTATGCATATAACAGCATATTTTATTTAAAGTTCAGTTGAAGAACTGATGTGGTGATTTCCAAAGTGTATTATTTAATTATAAGTGATTTTGCCAGATGTAAAGTAAAATGGACAATTGCGGTTGTGTCTACTCTTGCATAACCATTCCACATACTCAATGTGAGGGTGCTTCTGCAGTAAAGAGTAGTAAAATTATTAACTTGTAATTTTTCTTGCCAGACCGACTTGGATTCAGTTGTTTTTAGTTGTAAAAGGATTACTGTGCAATCTTGGTTCACTATCGCAAGAATTCCGACTGTTAAAATTTGTCCAGCCAAAAAAGGGTAGCGTCCAAGCAAAAGCATGTTTGACTGGACAATGTGACCGGCGACTGCTCGTTTGTTATTTGCAGCCTTGCCTAGTGAAGAAGTCATTCCATAGTTCTGATGTGCAGTTATCTAATTGCTTGTGAGAGAGTTTATTTTTCCTATTTGCAGTTTGGCTTCATCAAACCAGAATAGGCCTCAGTTTGTATGATGTTGCAGGACAAGGATACCTAAAAGAGTCGGTAAGCCTGCAGTAATGGTATCAGGATAAACTATACTATCTGCACAAATAAACTTTTCCTTATACTTCAAATACCAGTATCTCTGTCAACTGATTAATAAAAGTTACTCTAAACTTTTGGGTTCTGTCAATCTCACATCTGAAAATGTAAAACCAGCAGTCTAAATCCCACAGGTATCAACGAACGCTTTTCATTCCACTGATTTATTTGTGTTTTTCTCGTTACCATGTTCCCACCAATCACATAGGTCCTTTTTCAGCCTTTAAAAGCACACACAACCCACAATTGCCCTATTCGCTCCGACGAAAGGCTAACGTTTGAAACATCAGCTTTTATAATCATAGCGTTGGCCAATTTACCATTTCAACTTTGTTGATATATTCAAATGAAAATGTAATCATTATGGTTTTCTAAATAACTGGAATGTGTGTCTTTTCATGGAGAAAGTTTTCCCCTGCTTGGCTTCTCTTTAAGAGTTTTAGTTGTTGATCCACTGTTGACACATGTATCTGCTAGTGGGCAAGAGTTGCTTATCCTAGAAGCAGTGACAGTATGGGCAAGAGTTTTGATTGAGAGATTAAAAATTTGTATTGAATAACTAACAATTCTAATATATCTTTAGAAGATGTTACAGAATATGGACATTTTAATTATCTTTTTCAGGACCTGGAAAATTATATTTTGGAGTTAATCCCAACCTTACCTCAGGTATTTTTTATAATTATACCCACGCAAGGATATGAATTATGGTATGTAAATCAGTTGTAAGTCATTACTTAGTTGTTCTTTATCACAAGAATTATAGTGATGCAGTGTACAAAGTCATATCCTACAGTGTACCACATCAGATCATGAGATGGTTTGTGTAAAGTTTACAATGTTGAATAACTTAAAAAAAAAAAAAGAAAAACATTCTTCAATGGTCATGCACAATTATTAATATATAGAAAGCAACTTGTAAATTTGACAAAAATGATAAAATGAGGAAAAAAAACCCTTTTGTCCAGTCATCAACCTAAGTACCGGTAACACTTTCTTTGGTATATAATGCCATTCAAAGAACAACTGTCAAATAACTTTGGAACAATAACAGCCTGGCCTGAAATGCTTTTCAATTTTTGGAGGTGTTAAGTGATATTGTCCAGTCAGACCACTCCCTTCCAATGATATTACTCAGGAATGATCAATTTTCAATAGAGTGTAAAAGTGAGGTTCTTGCCTCATGTTGTTTTCCTGTTGAGGCAGAGGGTTACTTTAACTTGAAGTAAAAAATGATAAATTGTTTTTAAAATTTTATGCCTTTCAATTTGTTCTTTAGTTGGATGGTCTTGAGAAGTCATTTTATTCTTTCTATGTGTGCACTGCTGTTAGAAAGTTTTTCTTCTTTTTGGATCCCCTCAGGACAGGTAAGGAGAGTGAATGGAAGGCCTGTAGAATTTTGAAAATATCTCCATCTCCATTACCACAAAATGCTCAGACTAGAAAGCAGATGGCACACACTTTTAAAGAGATAATTTATTGCATTAAGCACTGGCATTGCAGTTATACAAGTTACTGTTGTACACACTTTTGAAGAGATAATTTATTGCATTAAGCACTGGCATTGCAGTTATACAAGTTACTGTTGTACACACTTTTGAAGAGATAATTTATTGCATTAAGCACTGGCATTGCAGTTATGCAAGTTACTGTTGTACAAGTTTTGCTTTTAAGTGGGAACCTTTAGATTGGAATGGTCTTTGAACTTTTTATGCCTTATATCTAATGATGAAACTGTCATGTAGGTGACCCTGTCTACAGGTACTTTCAGTAATTGTAGGCACAGTGTCGTAGTAAAACAGCAAAGCCAAATGGTGGAGGTACACCTGTATTCCCCAGTTCAGTCATCTGGAGGAAACATGACTTGAAACAAATTAAAAAGGGATTGTTTTGATAATGTAGTTCCAAACTGACCTCCTCCTTCTAGGGTGCAGAAGTAGCCTATTTCATATCTGCTATTGGTCTTAACAAACATCTGACAATCTATCAGAGAGAATATAGAAAGAAAATAGTTTATTTGAAGTGTATTGATACTTTTAAATGTCTGCAATTATTTAATGTTTTAAACCTTTTTTCCTATAGGAAAAATAAAGATTCAAGACATCCTTGCCTGTAGTTTTCTGGATGATCTCCTTGAGGTATGACTGTCATAGACCACTTTCATAAATGGCTGCTGGATTAATATTCTTTTGTTTAAATTTAAATTAGCCTTTCTGGCCTTGCTTGAGATAACGTATTCTTTTGAATTTTGTACTGGAGAACGAGGCCAGAAGGGCTAATTTAAATTTAAACAAAAGAATATTAATCCCGCAGCTATTTATGAAAGTGGTCTATTATCAGTCACTCATTATTTACTGTTTCACAACAATGACATTAATATGTTGGAAATCCTACAAACAAGTGGCAAACATAATTAAAGTGAAATTTTGTATAAAACACCTTTAACATTTTTTTCGGTCTCAATGTGCCCAGTGGCTCTGGTTATGGTGTCTTGTTTATAATTCCCTCTCTGGAGTGTGACTAATAGTAAGTAATTGTTAATATTGTTGCATGTGTGTGTGTGACTTCTGGCAGTGTATTTCCTATTACCGGTAGTAATCATGATTTGTGTAAACTCACCAAATTCATGTAATTTATCTTTTATTGTTATTATTATTATTGCTATTATTATTATTATTATTATTATTATTATATAACTTTATTTTAAATCACCAAAAATATTTACAAAAGTTTGATAAAAACCCTAAAAATCGAAAAACACTTTAAAATGTCTTTCAGAAGCTAAGAAAAACACATGTTGTCTACGTTTACTTCTCAAACTTTTCAATAATAATAATGATAATAAAAATGATGATGACAGTAATTTGAAGNCCATTACCACAAAATGCTCAGACTAGAAAGCAGATGGCACACACTTTTAAAGAGATAATTTATTGCATTAAGCACTGGCATTGCAGTTATACAAGTTACTGTTGTACACACTTTTGAAGAGATAATTTATTGCATTAAGCACTGGCATTGCAGTTATGCAAGTTACTGTTGTACAAGTTTTGCTTTTAAGTGGGAACCTTTAGATTGGAATGGTCTTTGAACTTTTTATGCCTTATATCTAATGATGAAACTGTCATGTAGGTGACCCTGTCTACAGGTACTTTCAGTAATTGTAGGCACAGTGTCGTAGTAAAACAGCAAAGCCAAATGGTGGAGGTACACCTGTATTCCCCAGTTCAGTCATCTGGAGGAAACATGACTTGAAACAAATTAAAAAGGGATTGTTTTGATAATGTAGTTCCAAACTGACCTCCTCCTTCTAGGGTGCAGAAGTAGCCTATTTCATATCTGCTATTGGTCTTAACAAACATCTGACAATCTATCAGAGAGAATATAGAAAGAAAATAGTTTATTTGAAGTGTATTGATACTTTTAAATGTCTGCAATTATTTAATGTTTTAAACCTTTTTTCCTATAGGAAAAATAAAGATTCAAGACATCCTTGCCTGTAGTTTTCTGGATGATCTCCTTGAGGTATGACTGTCATAGACCACTTTCATAAATGGCTGCTGGATTAATATTCTTTTGTTTAAATTTAAATTAGCCTTTCTGGCCTTGCTTGAGATAACGTATTCTTTTGAATTTTGTACTGGAGAACGAGGCCAGAAGGGCTAATTTAAATTTAAACAAAAGAATATTAATCCCGCAGCTATTTATGAAAGTGGTCTATTATCAGTCACTCATTATTTACTGTTTCACAACAATGACATTAATATGTTGGAAATCCTACAAACAAGTGGCAAACATAATTAAAGTGAAATTTTGTATAAAACACCTTTAACATTTTTTTCGGTCTCAATGTGCCCAGTGGCTCTGGTTATGGTGTCT